AATGTGCAATCCACACCAGTTGTGCTACTATGTATTATTAGTATTTAGTATATATGCTCTGTCTAGATTTGTTAATTTACATAAAAATAAAAAAAGCTTTTACATTTAAATTTATTGCCTCTACATTTACGATTTTAATGACATTTTAAATGGATTGACTTTTTCATTGAAGCAGCCGTGGTATCTCAGGGGCTAAACACTCACTGTAAATTTAACTATATGCGAGCAACCTGGGTTCGATTCCTGCCGGTAACAATAAAATTGTTAATTGCAATTTTAATTCCTGATTTGCCACATGTTTCATGGTGACAGAAAACATCGTGAAATAAAGTTTGCCGACACGCAATGGCGCGGCAGACATTTCCTGGCCCTAAAAATCGCTTTAGAAATGAGAGGATGGCTGTGCCCAGCGGTGGGAAGAATAAAGGCTGTAATTTAAAATTTATATTTAACCATTTCACTGTCCCATGAGTCATATATGAACATTTTGATTGTTTAACTATTGTGTCTATTTCGCGGACAGGGTAGTTGTTAATAAGCAACAGTTTCACTGGTACAAGGATCTACAAAGTGCAAAAAATAAAATAAAAAAGCCCCTACACTACAGTTACTGTCTCTACATTTATCTACTATTTCAATGCAATTTTTAAATTCATTGATTTTCTCATTTAAATAGATATGATAGATGTAATAGTTAAGTTTTGGAAACTATATAAGGCGCTAATTTTCGACTTATCATTTTTCTGGAAGGGTTATGGAGCAGAGAATATTAATAGTTGTAGTAGTAGTATTATAGTATGATTTAGTATAATTTAAAAAAAATTCAGAGGTTTATTATTTGATACGTATGGACATAGTGTAAAAATAATAAGAAATATTGAAGCCTAACTGTAGTTTTTGTATAAGTTAAGTATGTTACATAAAGCATAGTGCACACGGTGCCCCTTTTCTGTTAAACCGTGGACCAATACGTTCTTTTTTTATTTTGTTTGTTATTTATTAGGTAAAAAGTATACATGTGCTTAACTTTACATTATCTAACCTAAAAACACAGCACGGTAATCACATGACAAAAGCTGGTGGTGCCGTGGGTTCAAATTTCGTACGAAAAAAACTCTTGTTTTTCCGTGCGAAACTTATGTATTCGAAGCGCCTCTATATTAATTAAAATGATCTGTTTTTTGACCACATTATTTTGTGTAATATTATTTCATGTGCAAAATATCTTTAGTAAGAAAATAAAATTTGGTGTAGAGTAGACTTTAGTTACGGTGCTAGCGCGTCGTTACTCGCACGCAACAGTTTTTGCTGCAGTGCAGTGACTGGAACGGCGCTCAACCGAAATCGGTGAATTAACCAATCAGAATACTTGGTCTACATCACGATATTATTATTTTTTGATGTGTTTGTATATAAGAAAAGAATTCAAGTGAGCTCTCGGGGAGTCCGATGCTGCTGGGAAGACCGGCCGTGGCGAGGGGCCGGACTCTATCCTCGCTGTATTGTCATGTTTACAGACAAGTAGAGCGGCCTCTGCTTCGTGTATTCACTTGTTAATATTAATCTCCTGTAGTTTAAATTAACCGTATGTATGCGTTAAGATTAGGGACCCTCTTCTTCACCGTAACCGGTCGGCAGCATGTTTGACTTCCTTTTGCAAAATTTTTAATTTATTGTTTATTATAAAAAAAAAGAAGTAAGGGTTACGAAAATCGTAAACACAGTCAAACTGATGGTAAATGGATGCTGTAGGCTATAAACGTTTTCTATAATTTTTTATTAATGTTTATGTTTCATCATCATCATTAAAGTCGATAACAATTTCACTGCCGAACATAGGTCTCGTCCAAGGAATATCACTTCAATTTACGGTCTGTTGCACAATCTTGGTTACTCTCTGATTCTAACGTAGATATCCTCATTTTTGTTTTATTACGTATGAAAGTTCAGATCAGTTGTCACGGCTGAAGATTAAAACAAATGCCTCGTTATCAGTAAAAAGGGTATCCGATTCTGGTGACTCACGATATACGTAACATTGGAGTATAATCCTGCTATTTTACGCTGGTATTATGTGCATATATAGTATTTTACTTGTAAAGGCTGTAATGTGGCTCTATCATGTTTTGCATACTGACAATTATATTTTATTAGTTAAGAAAATTTTATTTTGCAAGCCGTTATAACAATGGCTCTTGTGCTTTTCACTAAGCCATAATAATTATGGTTCAGTGGAAAAGCATACACTTTAAAATTTTAAATAACGTGAGTACACTGGACTTTATCTTTGCCAGCAGCTGAAATAGACTTTTTTCCTCTTTGTCGGTAAAAAATATCGTTAGGAAACTTTCATATCTAAGACAATGAAAATAAACCGCAGACGCAAAATCCGTGGTTTGTATTAAATGCGTTGACTTATACTATAATTTTCTCAGCAATAAGAGGCCTAAACACAACAGTGAGGAATAAAAGCAGTTAGATTACTTTAACTAAGTATATTAAATAACTGTTGACCGTGTCGCCTGCCGTCCTTGACGGATATTTAATAAAGGCGGGGTAAGTTGCCGGGTCGGGTAACGAGATCATATATCCGTTTGTTATGCGTCGCTATTACGTATAAACACCTCATTTTAAGACCCAAGACCATGTTATGGGCTTTGGTCTAACTTTATAATAATACTGACGAAATTTTAGTATTTTCAGTTTTTGACAACTGTAGTCTAGAGATTACAAAAACATACAATAATTTCACAAGTCAAATATAACCGCAAGCTATAAAATAACAGCTGTTTTTATTATTTTGAGTTGTTATTAGGAAGATGCTATTGCCCATCTCCAGTAACATTTCACTTTGTTCTCTCATGACACATACGGCATGGTATGGAGTAGTGAATATTCTTACACAACCATTGTTCATTTACACTGTCATTGTTCGTTCAACTTTCATAAAAATACAGATAATTTTGTAGAACAATACATCATTTCGGTAAGTATAAAATGACTATTTTTTTAACTAACTGGCTTTGCGACTCTGGGTTCTAGCCCTTCTGAGACTATCATTTCTTTCAGAATCTTCATTTTTATATTTTTTTTTCTTCATAATATGCTGATTCGTCACACTGCAAAGCCCTTGGGAGATTTTGACGATAGCTCAACCCAGCGGACAGTTGATGACGACAGCCACTCAAGTTCATAAGGCGCCAAAGCGATCAAAATAACTTGAGGTTTATATCGACATTAAAACACTTGTTTCGTCGTTTTCTCTAATAGTTCACACGCGCAGGCACTTAATTCAAAAAATCGCATCACTTTTGCGAATCAAAATCCACTTCAAACCATTATTCAAGCGACAAAACATGAGTGACAATCCGTCTACGGCCAAGTTCCCGCCAAAACTCCTAAAATGACTAATCAGCTGCCGTTACAAAGAGTATGGCTTTAATACTGTTGTACTGTTGGCATTCTGAAAATATTGTCAGATAAAATAGACTTTTTCATTAATTTAAATTTACGTAATATATTATTATTCCTCAAGTATTTCATCGATATCTTCCTTTACCGCCGAACAGGTGATAAATCACCACTTAAAATTTCAATCAGCAATCAGTGGCGCCGGAGGGAATCGAAATCGATGTGCTCGTACTATGAAATTTAAAAGCAAGCGTTTATCCCCTCAGGGTAGTTTTAAGAATATTACACAATATCTAATTCAAAAGAAGGCTTTTAAAAAAGATAGGTACTCTGTTTAGGTACTATTGAGTTATGTGTAATATATAAATCAATGGTAGATACTTTAAAGAAAGAAAATTTATTGTTTTTTTACCGTCACCGTTACAACCTATTAAAGTCCACTGCTGAACATAGGCCACCCCCACCCACATATATTGTCTCATAGGGAGGACATTTACCATAGTCGTCACGGTTGGCAAGCGGGTTGGCAACCACAGTTTTTTTTTCGTTATTAGGAAGACACTGTTGCCATATCCTGATTTATATCCCTCTGTTTATCTTACTTTTATAATGTTCTGTTATTTCTTCGTATTATTTATTTGTACTTTATTATATCATAATGTGTAATTTTTAATGTTAATTTAATTATTGTAAATGTAAATTTAATGTTAATTTTTGTTGTAATTGTTGTGAATTTTATACAATAGCAATGGTGCGCGTCGTTAATCTCACAGTATGCGAGCAACCTGGGTTCGGTTTCCGCAAGCATTGTTTTATCACGTTCTTGGCGGTAAAGAAATAACGCGGGAAAATATGTTGGACATTAATATTTTCCCGTGTTGTTTTCTTTTGGAATAAATTATTTCAAGGATATGTAAAGTCCGCTGTCAATAATTGATAAAGTAAAAGGTCCTTAATTATCCTAAATCTAAATAACCGTACATACTTGGATCTCACCCTGGTAAAACTGGGGCGGGTCGCTATTATATACAAAATTTTATTTTCATTTTTAGTTTGTAATACATGGGACTTTTTTGCTGCCTCTCTGAGACCGGTAGGTACCACTTTGGTGCTAAAAGGTGATAGCATTGTGTGTTTGAAGTTGGTTGCAGCGTCCATTGGATTTTGTAGCCACTTATCGTCAGGTGGACTATAAGCTTGTTTATTCTTATCAATTAAAAAAAATATTTAACGCATTTAACAGAAACACATAATTTATTTAGTGTTGTCATAATTTTAACTTTGAATTACAGAAACGCAAATAAACATTGATTAGTGTTTTAAATATGCGAAATTTTCTCATAAACGTTACTTATCTAAAATGGTATAGCAATAAATATAGACAACCTTTCCAACTATAAAGAACAAACATTACTCGAAGAATGTTCCAACGAGTGCAAATAACGTTTATTTTGTTTTTAATATTCTGTTTATTTAAAGTTACAACACCATTAAAGTGGCGAATATTCGAAGGTCACGGTATACCTTACGATCATCACACTTATTTAGTTAAGCTGAAAATTCAAAAAATCGCTTTTCCTTTTTTAGGGATGTGCAGTGGATCATTTATAAGTAATTCTTGGCTATTAACATCCGCACATTGTGTTAAAACAAACCTTCTTAGAGTAGATGTCTTCCATGCTACAAAGAGAGATTTGAGTTTAATCGCTCAAATAGAGAAACGTGATATTTGGCCACATCCAGATTTTGTACTAAACAACTATACTGTAGCAAATAAAGAAAAAGACATAGCCTTAATATATTTAATACAATCAATAAATTTTGACACATATAATATTAATCCTATTAAATTAGCCACAAACTACCCTAAAGTTGGTGAAACAGGAATTATCACTGGCTATGGAGAAGCAGAAGTTTACTCGGTTGCACCTATAGAAGGAACGGTTGTGATAACTAAATGTCCCTTTCAAAGTACCAATATAATCTGTTCTCAAGGTCGAGTGAGAGCAGGATCTGGGGATTCAGGAGGACCACTGATTTATAAGGAGAACTTAATTGGTGTAATATCAGCGGGATGCAAGGATGAACATATAAATAGGATGTGTTTAACTGTATATACTAGTGTAGCTGCAAATATGAACTGAATACGAAATATAACGAATGAGACACTTTGACACAAAACGGAGGTTAAATATGACATTTCACTGGCATTGACATTTTATTTAAGGCAGAAAATGAAATAAAATACTTTTTTACTTGTAACTTTTTTAAACTTTGTAAATTCCCATAGAAAAATATTAATTAGTTTACTAGAGGATCATCAAATAAAAGATATTTAATAGGATAAGGTACAAATGCAAATAAAAGTTACACTTATATGAACTAAATAGTTCAACCGTCTCATTTTAAAAAGGAGCAGTTCGTTTCGGGAAAAAAATCTGATGGCAGCTGATTCCACAAAGAATTCGTTGCGAAGAAGAAAACTTCTGGTGACTCGCATTGTGGTAGACTCAAAAATATCCAGTTGGTTTAGATGGTATCGTGAATTATGTTGCAAAAAAAAAACAATTCTTCTGAGAAAATCTTACTCCCGGTGGAGCCACGCTGCAGTTATATTGTGATGCTAGCATAAATGAGTCGGCTCGACTAGGAAATGACCACGCTCTTTACACTGGAAACGACGAGATTCTCAGGGTTGACAAACGCATCTGAATTTTGATTCTTGATTCGTGGATAGATATACATGTCTATGGGCTACAGCATCCACTTACCATCAGCTGGACTGTGTGCTGGGGTCAACTTTATCTAAAAAAGTAAGTCGTAAGTCTTATAAGGTATACACAATTTGTGATTTAATTACGCTTCATCAAAGGAGCATTTTTACAGTGCCCACGAAGGCAAAGCAGCGTTTACTGAGAACGTATCAGGAAACACAAAGTCGTTTAAGAGGCCATTTGGACTGCAGAAAACTAAAGTATAAGTTTTGACGAAATGTCTGTATATATGGCTATAATATGGCTGTGTAATTTTTCCCGAATTATCAAGCTATATATCATAACGAAAGCAACTGCAATTGGGACTGATTTTTTTAATGAAAAATTGATGAAATCTTCATCAATCAATAACTTTACATATGACTAACGGCGACAATCTTCTTCACGTATTTCCCCCCGTTTCCTTCTACAAAACACGGAGAAGAAAAATACGGAATGGGCGGCGCTAGTCATTTAACATCAGGTAAACTGTGTGCTCGTTTGCCCCCTCTTCTATATAAAAAAACTGAACTGATTTTAACTTTTTTCCAGTAACAATTTTTTTTCTTTTTATTTTACGTTACATAGTTTTTTGAATGTTCTCTAACGACGGTTTAACTGAAAATTTTTAATTACTTTAAGGATTCCTAAAAAAAAATCCTTAAATTTTTTTCTTTATGGAATAAAAAAATAATATTAAGAACATGGAATTTGTACTTTTTACTAATATATAAAAGCGAAATACTTTTTTTATGAACTATATGTTGCTCGGATCCTCTTAACAAGCTAGTAAGAGTGATTTTATAGGTATTAATCTGCATGAAAAAAACGTAGCGGCACGTGATTGAATATAATTTTATAAAGGACATCCAAAAAATCTAAGAGTAAAGTACTTATATATACTTAGTCATTTTATTATAATTTACGCGGTAGACTCATGTATGTATGCTCACGAAATTAGTAGTATAGTTGTAGCACGAATGGATCGCCTCGATCGGGAAAAAACCAAGCTCTCACAGAATACTAGCGTAAAATAGGAGTGCTTTTTTGACATCCTTAATCGATAAAATAAAGTTGATAAGTCATGATTCGTTCTCAAATTCAGATAATTATTCATTCATTACAGCCTTTTTAAAGTTCACTGCTGGACATAGGCCCCCATCATGGATATATCAGGGTAATACAGGCAAAATTTGCCATGGTTGCCAGGCTTGCTGGAGGGCGGGCACCTGTAGTTTTCACTGTTATTGAGTGGTTTTCAGGAAGATGTTGCTGCTCCTATTTCAATTTCTCTTCTGACATCTATTACAATACCCACGTAGTAAAATGGGGTATTGCGTTTTTCTTACACCGCCACAACACAGCTAAAAATTAAGTTAGAATACGTTCATATATGCATGATCTGAGTGCATAGACTTTTATTGTTAAATAAACCATTAATGATAAAGCTGTAATAGATAATTTATCTCATCATATATCATCAATAGACAAATTATCATCGAGATCATAAACCCATTAAAATATTTCACAATTTTTAACTATTAAAATAAATAACTTGTTATATAATGACGTAACTTTTGTCACAACTGAAGCGATTAAAGAAAATAAGTCTACTTACTATTAATATCTTCGAAAAACGATGAAGATTGTAGATCTTAAACGTTCACGATAATCGACATAGTTTTATACAAAGAATTACCGTTACGTACAATGATGTTACGTTGATATACCCGCAATTCGAACAATCCAATTAGTAATTAGGTGCAAGTTGCGTCGTACATAAATAAAATATGCGTGCTGGATACTTTATTAAGTTTCATATAATAGTTTTGTTATATTATATATGTAGTGTGTGTATAATAGAGTGTGTGTATAAAAAAGTATTACGACAAAACTTTAAAATTTATAAGTATTTTAACTTTATAGTTTTGTTTTCGTTTTGAACAAAAGAAACAAGACCATTCACTTAGTGACCTACTACTTATTTACTTTACAAAATTACTTTGTATTGTTACAAATAACATTGTAAGTTAACATTCAATATATCTTTACTATAGCTGAATATGAAAGTATATAAAATTTAATTTAATACAAAACTAAGCTATTTTTTTCCAAAATAAACTCGGATACTACACGTAGCTATTATAACGGACTTCAGAACGTTTTATTCGAAGGGATATCATAAATTAGAAGACTATAAGATTATTGAAAGTCAAGGGAAGATATATCACTTAATTTTTTATATGGTAGGGATGACAAACGAGCACGCAGTCCACCTGATAGTAAGTGGATGCTTTGGCCCATAGACATCTACATTTTACCACTATTAAGAATCAAAATGCAGATGCGTTGTCATCTTTGAGGACTAAAGTGGTATGCTTTGATTCCAGTAAAACGCGTCTCCAGTTCTCTACGCTCACCATACGAAACACAGCAGCATTCAGCTGCTATTTTACGCTGGTATTCTGTGAGAGCATAGTCCTTCCCCGGTCGCGCCGACTCATTCATGCTACAACCTTAATAGCTGCAGCGTAGCTCTACCACGTAAAAATATCTTAAATCTTTGAATTATACATGCTGGTAATGGGGAGCGGTAATACCCACGTTAGAGTAGAGTAGGGTAGAGGCTCTTCGCTCATCAAAACGTACGTAGAGCCCGGTGATTACGGGTAAATCTTCTAAGAAATACTTATCATTTGGGCCCAGTCTTGGGAGGTTTAGTATTTGGGCTAAATATTGCTGACGATGATAATAACAGTTGATGACTTCATCGCCATTAGATAGTACATAGCTTCATACTTTACAGATATTGTACCAATCATGAAATTCATAATTTAGAAACTAAGTTCAGATCATTGTGGACAGTTGATTTTATTACCATACATGCACAAAAACAGCAAATTGAGAAAATCGTGTTTGTTCCGATTAATGCAAAACGCCTGGAAAAATTTAGAAGTAATATGGTAAAAATCTTCCTTACACGAACAATTCAGAGTATTTATATGGAGTATTATTTACTATTATAAGCAATGAATTTAATAAAACATTTACTTCTAAAAAATTCTCCAGCAATAGTCGCTAAGCATTTCATTAAATTCTTTGCGACTGATGCTGGAGAATTCCTACTGTAGCCCACTCATTAGTGGGTGACAGTAGAAATTCATAAAAGCAGACGAAGATTATATGAACCATGAAATATCATATAATCTTTCCAATACTTTTAGAGGATAAGCCACAGCGAATCTTTACATATTAACAACAAAATTAAGACCGCAAAAATAAAATAAAAATGACGTAGAGTATAATTAATATTGAAACTGGTAAAGACAAACCTCATAACACAAATTATCAATTGAAAATTAATAATGAATTAACTAGTAGAAATCAAGAAGTCGCATCGGTGTTTGAGAAATATTTCACTGATAAATCATATTTTGACAATAAAATTATTGAATAGTGTTCCAACTGTCGCCGATTCATTACACAAACAAATGTATTTAGATTTGAAATAGTATACCACAAGATATCATAAAATATTTCGAAACCCTTGATGTTAAGAAAACCGCAGGTTTATGGGGAATTTCCGTTACAGTTATTAAATAAAATAAAAATTGTTTATTACGGATAATTTAAAATCTATTTATGTGGTTTAGTAGTACAAAAAAATATAACAAGGGTTAGTAAAACATGGTTTGGTCATGATTAGACTTATCTAAGAAAAAAATAACACTTTGTGCCGAGACAGACCATCATGGGGGTGGATAGGGTCCAGTGATCAGTCTCTGTACAAGACATTTCTACAGCGGCGATGTATACCTGTCCGCTACGGTCCTCAGAATGCTGATGTGGCTGGCTTGAAGCCTGCTAGTAAGGAATGCGGTTTTTTTGCGTATAATGGCATTAACCCATCTGTATGGTATACCGCAAACATTCCTGATGCACTACAACAAATAGGCAGTCCTAAGTATAATTATATTGGATGCGCAGGGCTTCAAGCGATCTTTTGTTGTATTTGACCCACAGGCTCCTCGTGTATACGCTCTAGCAGTATGTTTTAAAAAGCGTAACCTTAACTTGTTTTTTACAACCGGAAAACCTGCGAGCCAACATATTACCTCTAAACGCTAGAGCTCTGCGCTCCCTTTAAATGTCGGCATCATCTTTTAGGTAATAATATGTTCCAGATATTTATATTTATTGACACGTTTCATGTTCATGCCATTGAAGGTTACATTGTCAATTAACATTATCAAAGCTATTATTACGTCGATAATAGATTTAATTGCGCCTCATCTTGCTATTATTTTTAATATTAGTATTGAATCTGGTGTGTTTCCTGATTTAATGAAACATAGTAAAGTAATACCTTTATTTAAATCTGGTGGTACATT